CCCCCCACACACACACACTTAGCTCCCCCACCCCCCCAGGAGACACTCTGGGGCACATGACTTCTAAGGAAAGACTGAGGGAACTGGGCTTAGATAGTCTAGAGAAGAGGAGATTTAGAGGGGATTTAATAGCAGCCTTCAACTGCCTGAAGGGGTTTGGAAAGAGGACGGAGCTAGACTGTTCTCAGCGTTGGCAAACGATGACAGAACAAGCAGCAATGGTCTCAAGTTGCAGCAAGGGAAGTTTAGGTTAGATATTAGGAAGCATTTTCTCACTAGGAGGGTAGTAAACCACTGGAACAGGCTACCCAGGGAGGTGGTGGAAGCTCCATCCTTGGAGGTTTTGAAGACCCAGCCAGACAAAGCCTTGGCTAGGAAGATCTAGATGGGGATGGTCTGCTTTGAGTAGGGGGTTGGACTAGATGACCTCCTGAGGTCCCTTCCAAGCCTAATTTACTATGATTCTGTTCTATGAATGATGAGAGGTAACTACATTATGGAAAGCTTTTCAAACCAGGATGTCTAAAGATTAGGCAACTAAATCCACCAGGGTCACCCCTGTGCGGTGGGGGCAAATTGGGGCAACTGCCCCAGGCCCCATGCTTTGGGGGCCCCACAGAGCTGGGTGGAGTAGCTGCGGCAACTCTGCGCTGCCACCGCCGCCTTCACATCTGACCACTTGCGACCCCCCCCCCCCCCCCCCCTGCTGCAGTAGAAAGCAGTGGCAGCTTCTTGGGATTCAGGGCACATGGGATCGGAGCAGGGGTGGGACCCCTTATGGGCTGATTTGTCCCAGGTCTAGCACCCTGCTTGGGTCAGCTCTGAAATCCACATTTAGACACTGTAACACATACCCTGGTTTTTGCATATGCTAGACTCCTGTATCTGTCTGTGGAAACTGGAGTTAGGTGCCTAAATTATTTGCAAGCTTTGGTTTAAGGGAATAATAAATATTAACAACAACAATGATGGCGATTTAAAAAAAGAAAGAAATATCCATAGACGGATCTCTCCACAGCCCTGGGATAAATTTGTTTGCATTAGGTGGCATACAGATGTGGAACAGGAAGATAATTTTGTTTGGAATCAAGTTTTATTGATACCTTCTCCATGATAGATTTCACCTGCACAAAATGTGGCTAATACTTCTAAGACATATTTGCAAATATATTTTTAATTGGCACAATAATAAAGTTAGGGGAGGCATACATATGTTCATATATGTAGGTATATGCATATACATATACATATACATATGATTGATCCAAAACTGGAATTGCTGAATTCAATAAGGGTCTAGATTTTTTTTAAATGAACTGAAATGCAAATATATAGACCTAGAAAAAAGTGTAATTTAAAACAAACTTTTCAACTTTATCAGAAAGAACAACCCTCCCATAAACAAACAAACAAGGTATCTTACAAAGGAACATTTAAAAAACCCCTATGCAAATAAGTACAATGCAAATAAGTCTGCCATTCAATGTTGAATAATGAATGTATTTTAAACATAAATGAGGTTTGATATCTCATTCAATAAAGCAAGAGAGGACATTTGTCTTTCTTTGTAAATATATCTTGCATACAGAAAATGTTTTTTAATATTCTTTTGTTGGATTTTTCTTTTGATTTCTTTCATTAAATTCTGTTTGCCTCCCCTTTCCATGGAAGAATCAGGGCCCAGCCTCCATGCCTGATATTGACAGGGATCAGCATAGACACTAAACATCTGAAAAGCCAAAACTCTTTTACACCTGCTCTAGTTCCTGAGAAATGCAGCTTTACTAGGTCATGATACCAGGGAATTTTGCACAGGTGTTTGCCTTTGTAAAATATAAGGAATGAGAATGGAGCTCCCTAATGTATCTGGCTTAACACAAAAAAAGGACTAGAACCTAAAGTTACATTACCTTCTGCCCACATTTGCCACAGGATTATGGGGAGGTAGCAGTAGTCACTGTCATCCCTTCCTTTTATTTTTAATCTTTGCAATGCTCAGATAATGTGCCCCATGAAGAAATCACAACAGAAGCCTGGGCAAGGAGAAGAAAGTATCACTTAAGTGACTCACCAATCCCAATTTCACATGGCCTAGGAGAAATCTGCACAAAGCTAAACCTCTGTTCACTTATTCAGTGGAACAATCAGATTCACAGTCATTGCCTCTGGTAAATATTTCTTAAATAAATGCTGCATTTAACAGCATGACTACACATTCGGTGGGGTAGAAATACAGTCTTTGATAGAGATTTTAATGTTTAAATAAAGCAGAAAACAAATAGAAATTCTGTTTACTCATCTTAATTGCAGCTATGCAGGAAACAATCAAAAGCAAACTAACTTGAGCTTACTTGTTGCTTGTATAAAAATTCAATGTAATTACATTTTAAAGAAATCTGCTTCCTGAAAAATGCCTTTACTGGTTGAAAAATAATGAAAATGGCTAATGTAATTTTATCTTTTAGTATAAAACATAGCTACTCTATGTGCATATAAAGTCTTTCACCAGAAACATAAGAATAATTTAAGATGAAGCATGTTTTATCCGATAGACAGTAAAACATTAGCTTTCCGGTAATGCCTAGAGAGCTAAACCAAATTGGATCCAATTGTACTCAACACTGTACATTTACACTGTGAATTAAATTGCTTGCTCCAAAGAATTTACAACCTAAGGCTTTGACCCTACAGTATGTTGTGAGGAATACATATCTAACCAATGCAGGTAAAGACCTAAAACACAAAGTATAATACAGGGGTAAACCAGCAGTAACAGGAAAAGGAGATCGAGACTGTTTAACAATAATAATTTGTGGGGGTTTTTTAGGTTAGAATAGTGCAGGAATAATTCTTAAGCGTCATAACAAGTCAGTAGCAATAGTTACAGTAATAACAACTTGCCCCCAGTCTGAATGCTGTTTTTTTCTAAATTCCATACTGTTTTACTGAAGAGGGGTTTTTTTTTCACTCTGTCACCAAACTGAATAAAAAGATACCATTTCTTGAAGTCAGCTGGCAAGATTGTCTCACCAGTTTTCCCAATACAAGATAATTGTCTTCCATGAAGTAGAACAAGTGTAAATGAGAGGAAAATATGGCCTAGTAAAACTGCAGGAATATAATTCTATGAGAAGAAACAAAAGAGGAAAAATATGCTTTCAAGTTTAAGGAAATCTTTGCATTTTAATTTTTTTTTTCCTGTAAAATGTTTCAGACAGAAGAGGAGAAAAAGAGGGAAAAACTTAATGGTAATATTAGCTTATAGCTATAAGCTTAGAATAGATCATATTATATTAATACTAATTAGCATGGTCTGTGTAAAGAAATTGAATTATGTTACTGAGAACAGTGATTAATATTATTGGTACAGCAAAAGCAAAAAATCTAGCAGTTCATCAGTAAAAAGCGAGGCTTAAAAAATAATCATGCACTCTGATTCATCGTTCCTAAGTCTACTATACATTTAAAATTCATCACCTCCAAAACTGAACTCATGATTTCACTAGGAGTCTTTGTCATGTGTAAAGACTTATTAGGAGTAGAATAGTACTATAACAATGAACTATCAAAGATAGATGAAGGAAGTCCAGGTGTCAAACAACAGAGAAATGTCTTTCGAAAGGTTAGTTGCTTCATCTCAATTCCACTGAAGTTGATAGGAGATGTCTTACTTTAGAGCAGGGATGTCAAAGATACAGCCTATGGGCTGAATCTGGCCCATGGACCCTTATCATCCTATCCCCAGTGCTGCCTGTGAGTCTCAGAGTTGACCTACAGGAGGCATTTGGGGTGCAATGGATGGCCCCACACACCACACATGGTGCCTGCCCAAGCCAGGACTGTACCACATGTAGCACCCGCTCCAGCATACATAGACCCTGTGCTGGATCCAGTAGCATATCCCAGAGTGGGCACTGCTGTGCAAAGCAGGCCATACATTGTGATCACTCCGGTCATTCCAGGACACACACTGAATCCAACATATTGCACACTGAATCCAGCATGTGGTGCTGGTCTCTGGGTTCAAGCCAGCCTGTAGACTGGCCCCTCACCACTCATCCAGCCCATGAGGCCAGGTAAGTTTGACACTGCTATTCAGAGGATGAAATATTTGGCCTTAAGTTTCCATTCTGATCATTTTAGCTAATAAATCTCCAGACTAACTGATATTTCTCAAAATGTAATTGTAAATAGGGAAATTATCATGACCTGGTGGGATCCCACAGGAATGGATTGATTCCTTGCATTCCATGGTTTAACAGTAATTGAGCAGGAAACATGAAATCATAGTTGAGAAAGTTTGCAGGGCATAAAGATGAGAGAACTGATTAATAATGTGTGTGTTGGGGGGAAGAGCTAATTGATAATGGGTGATCTAGATGACTTGGTTAGCTGGACCCAGACACACAATATTCACTTAAATAAGGCTAAATGTAAAGTATGCATCAAGGAATAATAATATAGACCATGTTATATAGTATATGGGGTTCTATCTTGACAGTCAATGACTCTAAAAATACTTAGGGGGCCAGGGTGGATAAGTAGCTGAAAATGACAGTCCAATGCAACATAGTGGTCAATCTTTGCATGTATAAGCAGGGGGATTTGAATGGAAACAAAATATTACCTCTGTATTTGGCCTGTATACAGTAAATAATTAAGGTGGGGCAA